CAAAGTGTTTGTACAGTATCTACGTGGCACTTCCAGGTATAAAATATATTAATAAAAAAAACTCACTCCCCCCCACTCTACACCTGAAGTTCAGCTTTAAAAGGTGTGTGTATTTGGTATGCGATTGTGAAATCGTTTGGATTGATTTAAAATGACTCGCTGGACTGGAGTTGTCTGGTAATCACAGATCAACCTGCAGTAATTGTTGTACAAGATAAAATGTCTGAAAAGGAACATTTACATTGATCTTGAAGATCCCATCTGCCTTCTACAAACAGTTCAATTAATGAAGCCTTCATAAAGGTGTTCATAGTTAGGTAATGAGTAAAAACGTATACTATAGCATCTCCACCCTTCAATAAAAGTAGGCTAGGTGAGCCGGTTATGTCCTGTCAACTGTTTATTTAAACAAAAGATGCTTGTATATTTTGTTTTACCTGTTTGTAGCACCATATCTCCTGCTGGCCCTTAATCCTTCAAAATCTCACTTGCTAGTGACAGAACATAGGAGCAGCATCTTACTGGTCAGGCCATTTAGGGAGTAACTCATTAACGAACAACTCTGGAAATAGCACCAAATTTCCCTTGCAGTGTGGGGATAACAGGTAGGTCTAGGTACGGGGCTTACATGAAACATAAAGCAATTTTGCTCGCCTCATCCTGGCTTCCACAGTGGTCCCAGCTCATCTCTCTCCCCCTCTGCTCTGGCTATGGAATGTTCCACTGTGCCTTAATGTCTAATGGAGGTTAGTGAATCTGCATTAGACTTGATGCCGGAACCCAGGGGAGAAGAGGCTGCGGGGACTAGTCTAGAAGCCCAGAGGAAGTAAGGCTTTGAGTCCCTTCAACAAAACGAGCACAAGGGAAACCCTACCGCAAGGTTACGTTTTTAAAATTCCTTCAACAATGATTAGCAAGAGGAAAGTAAACCACTAAAAACAGGTCAACACTTGACCCTAAGGGGTTAAGTGTTCTACACCTTACTAAAAGGAAACAGTCCCCTGAAGAAACACGTAGGGAAACCCCCCAAAGACTCACACCAATGAACAAGAAGTTTTCCACGTTCAATGAAGGGAAGTAGGTTTGCAATCTTTAAGCATGGATAGATTTACTGAATCCAAAATGCTACGAGGGCAATTTTGTCATTTTTTTAATTTTTTTTTACTGGAGTTCTTTAACCAGTTGACATCCGCGGTGTTAAACCCCCTTCCCATCCAGGCCATTTTTCAGTATTCAGCGCTGCGGTACTTTGACTGACATTTATTCCGTCATGCAGCGCTGTACTGAAATGAATTTTATACCCTTTTTTGGGGACAGATAGAGCTTTCTTTTGGTGGTATTTATTCACCACTGGGGGTTTTTATTTTTTTACTATATTAAGGAAAAATTACCGAAACGTTAAGAAAAGGTAAATAGTTTTTAGTGATCCTGTCATTGGCAAATTTGCAAGCGACCTGGACATTTTGCTTCCCTTGGTGTGTTGTGGTCTGGCCCGCTGGCCTGAGATCCACTATGGATCTTAGGCAGTGGATGCATCAGCCTTCGAGCTTACTCCCGTTATGACCTACAGTCTCACATTTAGTTCACTCATTTTGTATTGAGATTGTAACCCATCACTGGAGCGGGCTTGGCTCACTGGCTACTTTACAACACACACAGGGATCATGGGGAACAATAGTAGCCACCCTCCAGAAGGAAGGACAGTGTCGGCACCAATGCAGCAATGACTTTTAGATTGTAAGCCCTCACGGGCACAGCCTTCCTTACCATCTTGTCTTGAATTGTATTGTGACTGTAATGGTTTCCTTATATTGTAAAGCGCTGTGCTAACTGTTGGCGCTATATAAATCCTGTATAATAATAATTTGAGGATCTGTAGCTAAGTGATACACAAATAATCAACATTCTTATTAATAGTTAAGGTACCTGAATGCATTTTTAATTAACTCCTGAGTTTAGTGTCACTTTAAGATTAATTTCCTTGGTAATTTTATACAATATATACATATTGTCGACTTGTTTAGTATGCCAATCTAAAGATCGAAATTCACTTGTAATAGGGCACCAATTCTTCCATTTACTGCTTAAAACATGAAAAATATATAAAAGTCTTATGAGATCATTAAGCTTCTTTTTTTTCTTTTTTCTTTTCAGAGGACGAAGCAGTGTTAAAGGACCTCCCCAGTCCGTAAGTTAATAAAGTAACTTTAGGCTAACACATGTTAAATGATTTATTTTATTCTATTGCCATTTACAGTTGTCTAAATCTTTTTCCCGTGCTGAATCTGCTGTTATTACTACTGAAGGTTTTTTCATTTTTTCTTTTTATGATACAATAACTTCCTCATACCCACTTAACACCCAGGACCTTAAACACCTTTAAGTGAACACATGCTTTGCCAATGCAAGGTACAGGTCAACGTATAGTGTGGGTTCTGGATCCCTCACTGCTTCTAGTAACTTTCCCTTTGTTCCCTTTGCCTGCTGTGTAAATTGCTCTCTTTTAGAGCTTACACAGACTCATGGAGACTGTCCTCTCTCTCTCTGCTGTAGAGCAATTAATCCTTGCACCTGCTGCTGGTGTACAGAGCCACTGAGAGAATGAACAACTTACAGCAGATGGACTGAAGTGCTTCAATTGTTGGGGATGTTTTGCTCCACAATGCCTACAGTTAAGGTGCCCATACACCTTACAATTATCGGACGAAACTTTTCGTCCGATGATCGAACCGTCATACGATTTTCGTACGACGGCCCCATCCTGCCCCGATTTTTGAAATGTTCAATCAGCGGTAGTTAAAAAAAAAACCACCTGGACAACTTGCGGTAATTAACCGCAATTATCTTCATTTGCGCATGCGCAGTGTTAATCGTACGACTTTTGACGGACGGAAACGCCACCAACCATGCGAACATCGTACGATCGGCCAAAGTTTTCAAACATGCTTGACCGTCAAAAGTCGTACGATTGTTCAGTACTATCGGTCGGGCACTCTATTCACACGTTACGATTGTCGTACGAAAAGTCGATCGCATACGATTATCGTACGATAATCGTAAGGTGTATGAGCACCTTTAGAGTTTAGTGAGGGTTTGTTTTAAAACTCCTTTACAAAACTTAAGAATTTGTAATTACTTGAATGTCCATCACCTGGCCGCACATTTGCTTTAAATTGTATGTTAGGCTTTTTCCATGTATTGTCATGAGATACTGCATATTTAAATGTCTTTTTGTTTCATGACTTTTTTTTATAGATTTCTTTTGATGGAATCTATGCAAACATGAGAATGGTCCACATTCTTACTTCAGTAGTTGTAAGTTGTAATTTTTACTGGATTTGCTTTTGTTGTGCATTTTGAACTAACTTTTCTTTCTGTTTTGTAATCTTGCCATAACAGCTCTACAGCAACTGAAGCCAAAACTTTGATTTGCAGTGTTCATTGCGCGGCATGAGTATTTCAATGTGGCGCCAAGTGACTAAACCCAATCACATGCAGTATATGCTTAATTTATTTATTTGTCCTAAGGAGGTAGGACGTCTGGCCAGCTGCACTTGATAAAGGCTTTCTAGCTGAAGATATTGCTTTCAAGCAGTTGCTGTCAGTGTCAGACTGGACCACTAGGTCTGGGGTATTCACACCAGCAGCAGATGATTCTCAGTGTCTTCCTGTACATTAGCATTTGGTAACTCAACGACTTTGCTACTCTGACTTGCAGTCACTGCAGCAGCCATACTGGGTTCAGTATCTTTGCAATGTTTGCCCTTGCTGCATGTTTTGGAGTTATACTGAATTGGCAGTTTTGGAAACTCGCCTCACTGGTCTTTCCCAGTTCCGGCGTGCTAATCACAGGCTACCAGTGAACTCTTCCCCAGAAGTGCCAAGTGTGGGGTTTTTTTCATTGTGTCTCACTTTTGTTTTAAGGCTTTTCGATCTTGCACAACCTTTTCAAAAGAGGGACACGGTAAGTATGGGGTTTTTCCCCCCCCCCCAACAGAGTGTCATACAGTAAAGATATAGCAATAGCAAAAAAGTACTCGGCATGGTTTTCCTAATCTGATCTGATGTATTGGAGACACTAGCCTTTAAAGATGACCGGCATTCATGCATAGCTTGATGGAAAGTGAAGGGTTCCAAGCTGCTGTTGCACTAGATTTTTGTGACCAATTAAAGGGTCTGAGGGGTGGGAGGTGCTGAAAATTGTTTTTTTCCAGCAGACATCCCACAAAGTCCATTTTCTAAACGCAGTCATATTTTGTATTTTAACACATGCTACAGTCTGATAACACCATTGTTATTATGCAGCATACATTTAAAACTTCTAGCTTTTTTTTTGGTGGGGGGGGGGGGGTATAATGTCATTTTATTACCACAGGAGATAGGAAATAGAACTGATTTTGACAAAGGTCTGACCAGGGCACTTTCTGATCAAGTGACACCAGGCACAAACGGATAGTCTGCTGAATGGCTATCGTTGGCAAGTTCTGGAATAAGATGCATGCTGTTGATGGCTTTAGGGAAAAAAAAATAAATGTGGTTTTCGTTCGGGAAAACTCCATTCGTTCCACAATCTAATGTTGAAATCAAGTAACATTTGTTAACTGTATGATGGCATTATCGGGTGGTAACGTAAGATCTTTCTTACAAAATTTCGCAATCTACTAGTGTTAGGCTGGGCACACACCTTACAACCATCGCAAGACTTTTGTCTTCCGATGACCGCAATGCCGAACGGGCAGTGTGCGCTTGCGCACATCGGCCCGTCCGGCTTTTATCTTACGAACATGCTACACACCCGCCGAACATCGTACGATGCTCGGCGGGTTTTCGAACATGTTCGTAAGTTTAAAGTCGTGCGACCTTACAGTAGTAGAGGTCGCACGGCTTCCACACACCTTACGATAATCGTACGATCGCGGGATTTCCCGCGATTATCGTACGATTATCGTAAAGTGTGTGGGGACCTTAAAGTGGAAATACTGCTAAAGGGGTTGTTTAGTCACTTCTGTCTGGGCAAATTGTAATGGTGTTCAGGAGGTCTGTGATGTGGAATGTGATGCACAGATTTTAAGATTGGTGGGAATTTTCGGGACGACACCCCGTTCATCGCTCAATTTAGGGGTCCTTAAGTCTCATCTACAGACCTCCCTTTTTTTCTTCTTCTGTCTGACGTAAGCAAACTCAGGTTTGATGGCGCCCAAAGCTGAGATGCTTTTGAGGCATGCAGGTCCTCATCTGAGCTACCTGCCTCTTCCGACCCCCATCTCTGGTTCCTCTCTAGTTTGATTACGGCTAGTACTTCTCGTTTATAATTTATCTCGTTTTCTGCAGTGTGTCCCCCCCCCCCCCCCACCCCCGCGGGGGGGGGGCGCGTGTGCCCCCCACTT